AGATGGTACAATACATGACAAGATGTACCCCGGGTAATAGGGAACATAAATATTGTGTATCTAAGTACACATACCACATACTTAAGAAAAAAGGCTTTAGGAGTATAAAAGGGAATCAAATGTGTGCACTCATCACAAAACTAAATTGTATGAAAAAAAAACTAAATTGTATGAGCCATAGACCACAAGAAGTGCTTATGTACCTGAAATAGTACCAATTTGTATTGAAAACCTGAAAGGAAGTAAATATATGACCGAGTCCATGTTCAAAGCTGTATATAGGCATTAAATGGAAAGACTATAGCCCATCTGATAATCAGTAGAAAAGGTAGCTGCAAGAAAAGTATAATCCAAGTTAATGAAGTACATATCTAGAGTACTAAGTTACATAGTTCAGCATCCATTTAGGACAAAATGCTCAGAAAAGTAAGAATAGAAAGGAACTTCCTCAACTTGATAAATAGAATCTACAAAAAATTTTACAGCTAACTTAGTGGTGAAAGACTAGATGCTTTCCCCACTAAGACTGGGAACAAGGCAAGGATTTCTACTCTCCACTCTCATTCAATGGTACTGGGACTTCTAGCCAGTGCAATAGCAAGAAATGGAAATAAAAAGCATGCAGATTGTAAAGGAAGAAAAAATATTGTTTTTCTTTTCAGACGACATGATTGGCTATGTACAAATTCCAATGAATATACATATAAACTACTAGAATTAAAAATTGAATTCAGCAAGTTGTATGATATAAGATAAACATAAAAAAATCAGGGATCCCTGGGTGGCGCAGCGGTTTAGCGCCTGCCTTTGGCCCAGGGCGCGATCCTGGAGACCCAGGATCGAATCCCACGTCGGGCTCCCGGTGCATGGAGCCTGCTTCTCCCTCTGCCTATGTCTCTGCCTCTCTCTCTCTCTCTCTCTCTCTGTGTGTGTGTGACTATCATAAATAAATAAAAATTAAAAAAAAAACATAAAAAAATCAATTGTATCTCCATATACTGGCAAAGAACCCACAAATACCAAAATTAAAAATATAATACCATTTTAAATCACTTAAGCCTTTCTGGAGATGGTGGTGTCCCCATAAGAGCATGCTTCTTGCAGAAGATCTCCAAAAGAAAAGAGGAAACACAAAATAAGCACTTGGCAAAGAGCCCCAATTCTTACTTTATGGGTGTGAAGTGCCCAGGATACTATAAAATTACTACAGTCTTTAGCCACACACAAACAGTAGTTTTGTCTGTTGAATGTTCCACAGTCCTCTGCCAGCCTACCAGACAGAAAGTAAATTTATAGAAGATAATCCTTCAGATAAATGTAGCACTAACCCACCCTGAATCAAGGTGAGTGGGAAACCATTCCAATAAACACATAGATTTGAAAATCACTCAGAGATGAAATGTGTAGGTATAATTCTAAAAAACATACAAAATTTATATGCTGAAGACTACATAATACTGATAAATCAAAGAATATCTAAATAAACGGAGAGACATTAGATATGGAGAAGATTATGCTAAAGTTTACATACAAAGGCAAGAGAATTAGAGCAGATAAAAACAATTTTGAAAAAAAGAATGATAATGGGAAGAATCTCTCTGCCTAATTTCAAGACTGATTATATAGTTAGAGTAATCAGGACTGTGTGATATTGGCAGAGGCACTCACACATAGATTGATGGAACAGAATAAAAAGCCCAGAAACAGACCCATGCAATATGCTCAACAGATTTTTAAAATTAAAAAAAAAATGGATCACAGACTAATGTGTAAAGTGTAAAGCCATAACACTTAGGAAAAAAACTTCAAGATCTAGGACTAAGCAAAAAGTTCTCAGACTGGACACCAGAACCATGATTCATACATGAAAAAAATACAAATTGGATTTCATCAAAATTAAAACTTTGTTCTCTGCAAAAGACCCTCCTAAGAGAATGAAAAGACAAGATACAAACTGGGAAAAAATATTTGCAAATCACAAAACTGACTAAGGACTAGTCCTAGATATGTATGAAGAATTCTAAAATTCAACAATAAAGGGATGCCTGTACAGCTAAGTGGTTGAGCGCCTGCCTTGGCTTTGGTCTTGATCCCCGGGCAGTGGAGTTTCACATAGGGCTCCCCACAGGGAGCCTGCTTCCTTCTCCCTCTGCCTATGTCTCTGCCTCTCTCTCTGTCTCTCATGAATAAATAAAATCTTTTTTAAAAAATAAAAATAAATAAAATTGACAGAGATTAATTTCATATATAAAAAGAGCAACAGAAAACGACTGAAGCTATATCTTTTACAAAGTGAGTATAAATATGAAGAGAATATGGAATGGAATAAGATCCTTGCAGACAGAGCACACCAGAAAATTCATGCCACCAAAAACACTAAACTATAACCTATTTCAAAACAACCTAAGTGTCATTAGGAAAGTGTTAGAAGATGTGAAAAAGCAACATAGATCAGAATTAGAAGATCTCAATACAGACAATAATATTGTATTATAAGATGTACTATAATGATGTACTAAGTATTGCTTCAGTGACAATCATACCACAATATATAGGTATATCAAAATAACACACTGTACATTTGAAGTTTACGAATGTAGCATATCAAATTTATTAAATAAGAAAATAATATTTTTTAATTTCAGAAATATGATGACAGTACTCAGGAGATAATTAGAAATAAAATCCACTTCAGAAATGAAGAAAAAAAAAACAGAAGAACAAATAGACATAATGGGGAAGGCCTCAACAGAAAGAAGGCAAAAAGAAAAAAAAAATTAAAGAAAAAAGAAATGAGAGGTAAAGAGGATCCAAAAGAAAATGACAAATATTGAAGATATGCAAAAAAAATCTAATATGCAAATGTAGGAGTTTCTAAAAAAGGAAAACCAAAGAAAATATAAAAAATATCACTCAATAAAACATTCCTAAAATAAAAAATATTTGAACAATATATAGAAAGAGAATATGGTGGGATGCCTGGATGACTCTTGATTTAAGCTCAAGATTGTGGTATACAGCCCTGAGTCTCTTTTTCTTTCTTTCTTCTTTAAAGATTTTATGTATGTATGTATGTGTGTATGTATGTATGAATTTGAGGTGTGAATAGGGGGAGGGGCATAGGGCAAGGGAGAGAGAGAATCTCAAGCAGACTCCCTGCTGTGCACAGAGCCCAACACAGGGCTTAATCTCACGACCCTGAGATCATGACCTGAGCTGAAATCAAGATTCTGACACTTAACCGACTAAGCCACCCAGGTGCCCCTGAAAAATCTTTTTAATGTCTCATTTAGTAATGACTCACTTGGTCATAAATTCTTCTACACTTGGTCTGCACCAATATGTGGTTTGGTTAAAACACATAAAGAAAATGTGGCCTCACTCAGATGGAAAGAATGGAAAAATTTTAGAATTTTTTTTAATTTTTTATTTATTTATGATAGAGAGAGGCAGAGACATAGGCAGAGGGAGAAGCAGGCTCCATGCACCGGGAGCCCGATGTGGGATTCGATCCCGGGTCTCCAGGATCGCGCCCTGGGCCAAAGGCAGGCGCCAAACTGCTGCACCACCCAGGGATCCCAGGGAAAAATTTTAATAGCCTTTCAGCTATTGTGTATATTCTTTGATAAGATGGTAAAACTCAAAAAATGGTAGATTTTTACAAATCAGTTGCAGTGTGGAATCTGAAATCTTATCAATGGTCTTTTCATGTTCTGTTATGTTAAAATTCATTGATCTACCTTGCACTTTGAATGGACCCTTTATGCTTGATAATTTAGCAGTATCATGAATTGATCATTTGGAAAGGGGGTTCACAGGATTATGCAGATCTCCAAAATGTTGACACAGTTTACTAAATATGAAAAAAGCGTATTTGGTAATATCACCATCAATCTCATCCAAAAAAATATTTATTATTAGGAAGCTGGGGCAAACACAAGTTTTCAAAAATTTTAATTTTCTCTGGAAAATATGACTTTCACTGTCAATATCATTTTCTTTGAAGTGACCGGCTTCCTTTGCTTATTTTTGAGAAAATGTCTACCAAAAATACTAAATAACCACAGTGTGTCTGTAAGTCACTCTTTGAAAAATTGCAGTCCATTAGAAAAAGAAGAGGTGACTAGTTTTATCCAGACCTCAAGCAATTACACAGTAATTTTCCATAATATAAATGTGTTTCCATCACTTTGGAGAAGAAATACTAATTTTGCCACACTGTGTATTAAAAAGATGCCTACTTGAGATTCAATATTTAGTAAAACTAATTATTTTTATTGCTTCACCAAAGCTCTCTTTAGGTAAAACTGACATTCTTGAAGATTTTTCACTGCAAGTACATGGCAGCCAAAAATACCATGACTACTTACAGAATTTAGTGTCACTGCCTGGATTCGTGCTACAGCACCAGGAGTTTTATCCACTGTAGATTTTGCATCACCAGTACAAATACAGTGAAAAGGGCAAGTAAGAACTTATTATTATTACAAAAATAGTTTTGACCTTGCAGATCCCCCAAAAGGGTCTCAAAGACCTCCAAGGAGTCCACAGACCACAACTTGAAAACCACTGCACTGGAGAGACACTGACATAATGGAATAGTAGTTAGCATTAAACACGTTATTACTCACAGAACTAAGACTAAAAAGGGAGCAAGTATCCTCTGTAATGGTGTCTGATCCATTAATGTAGATATAGGACAACTATAAAAAGGGGAATGATGAGGAGAACAAAGCAAAGGAATATTAACTATTTTCAGTCATCATTTTGGTGGTTACAGTATGAGTATCACTATCCTCAGACTGCCATGTGCATTCATTTGGTAAAAGCAAATGAGTACGGGTGGATATTCTAATTGTATGTATTCCCGTGTCTTTGAAAACCAGAATTGTTGATGTGGAAGAAAGGAAGGAGACACAAATGTAATACAGAAGAGATTAATTTTTTATTTATACATATATGAACTTTATACTTCTATAAATATGAATATTGCACATAAACATTTATATTTCCACCAGAAAGACTTGATATAGTGATGTCTTTATGGTTTTAGTGACATTTCCTATTAAAATAAGCCAGGGCTTTCTAAAACAATGGCTGATTGCAGTTCTGGGCAGGAAACACACAGAATAAACCTGGAACATCTTGTCATATAACAGAAAACAAAGAAACTACCAAAGATTTGTGTCAAAAGGACTTGGGAGCCACTTGAAGAAGTTTCCGTGCACCTAAGATGATACTATTAAACTCATTGCTAAAAACTACCATGAGCTAAAAGCCATCAAATACATTCAAATCTTTGAATTTATAACGATACAAAAAATAAAAATAAAAAGTAAAACCTAGCTGCTCGCCTTAGGATAACAGTAGGAACCAAATTCATTAACTTGAAAATGAATAAAGGGAAAAAGTTAAACACTGATCTTTTCTTTCCACCGTATCACTGGGCAACCCACCAGTAAATGAAGGGAAGTGTCTCCTTACAGAAGCAATAAAGCATACAAATGAAGAAGGAATGACAGAATGAGGATATCCTCATTCTGCAGACCCCAGTGAAGGAAAGCGTCTAGGCAAGGAGCACTAACAGTGATGGTAGCATAAAAAAAGACACAACTGGACAGTGTGCACCTCATGATGAAAAAACACACTGCCACCTGCAGACTTGCCAAAGAGATTAAATCTAATTCTATCCAGCCTCTGCATCCAGTTGCCAACTTGCAGAAAATGCAGAGAATGGAAGGACATGCTAAACTGCACCAGGTACATGCAATTGGTAAAATCCAGACTGTGGGAAACTCTGCAGGTCAAATGCTCCAGGCTTTTCAAAATATTAATCATCCCGGGCGGAAAGGGATGCAGGAGAAACCTGTAAAGTATGAAACATAAAAGACAACTAAGCTATGCTATCATGAATTCATACCTGAGTGAATAGGGAATAAAAAAATATAAGTGGTTAGTCTGACAGTCAGAATAGGATTGCTTTTGAGAGGAGGGAGAGGGGTTTGATGGGTCTGAGGCACATGCAGACTCTTGCAGGGCTGGTAAGTTCTATTTCTTGATCTGAGTGGTGATTTCAGGGTTTTTCCCTTCAATAATTCATTAAATTCTACATTTTGTGTGTTTATCTTCATTTCGGTTTTATTAACAATAAAAAAAAAGTCATTTAAAAAAAAACAGTCAATAGGAAACAGTGCCTCTGAGCATTTGTCTTCTGGAGAGAGTGGAAAGAGGAAGACGTGAAGATAACTCACAGGGTTAGGGCTGGACCACAGGAACTATGCAGTTTGGGGCTCTCAGGAGCCAGCTCTGGGGGGAATTTCTGCATGCTGTCCTTGGAAACAGATATTAATGACACAGTAAGAGGAAGAAGGACAGAAGAGTGAGAGAAGCATAATCTCAGAACACAGAACTCCAGAATCTGGTCAGGACTCTCCAAGGCCTCGTGCAAGCTGCTCCAGAACCTTGACCTCATGAGTGCCCCTTATGTAGTCCAGGGCTCAAGCCTCTCAGTACTACTTCAGGCTCCGGGGCAGGAAGCTTTGGTTGGCAACCTAGCATGGCTATGGTGAAGGAACTGCTCTTGAGATCTGCAGGGACAGTGATCAGAGTCTCAGGAGGGCCCGCACTCTCCCATTCCAGAGACTCAGCACCCAGTGACACCCAGCCACGGCCGCCCTCACATCCTACCCCCAAGACATCTCCCTCTGGCTAAAGCATTGGGAGAACAATCAGCCATCCAAAGAGAAGGAAAAAGACATTACCTCATCACCAGAAAACTGAGTCTCCACATATCCTAGAATGAGAGGAAAGAAACAGAATGTCCTTGTTAGAACCAAATGTTGTGATTATCCTGAAGGGTGGGGGATGACCTGAAATATCAGAATGCCATTTCTGCAGACCCCCTGAAATATTTCTGGCTTCAGAAAAGACTATCCTGGTGATCCCTGAGAAGTACAATCAGCTTTCCCTGTCTCATATCGTTGAAGTTAGGGGAAGTGGGAGTGGGAGAAGCCACAGGGCAAGGGGCAGGATACTCCTGAGAGGCTCAGGTACCTTTCTGAGCCCTCAGGCAGATGACAGTCCCCACCAGAAGGAAGATCAACCCAAGCAGGAAGGCTGCAATTCCACTGAGCATCTTTCTCCAAGAATATGTGGACTGAGCTCCTGTGGGAAACAGGTCTTAAAATTAGTAAAAAGCTCCCAATATTTGATGTGCCTTCCTGGAATCCCAGAGCCTGTACTGGACACAAAATCAAATGCTATCTAGAGAAGAAATACATTTAGAAATGGTTCTTTGAAGCCAAGGTTTGCCCCCATGGAGCTTCTGTTACTGAATCTTGCAGCCCACAAGAATGACCCCTAACATACTAAGACAAAGTATTAGAGGATACTATTTCTCACAGCTGGAAATAAGTGATGAGGTGGTTAGATCTCCTTCTTTCTTGGAAGATACAAGGATAGCTATCCACCATGTCTTCTCCTCCCCTAACCCAAAGACCCCAATTTCCATGACTCCCTCAAATCAGGGGAAAGAAGCAAAAGTGTTGGGACCAAGATGAATGCAGAGGTCACACAAGGCCCTGTGCTAAGTCATCATCACTCTGAGTCGAACCCAGAGAGTACAAGAATCTGATTCTCACTCCACTCCACAGAAACAGGGCTCAGCAAGCTGGGATGATTAACAAGGCAGGTGTAGACATCTCCAAGTTCAGGAGTCATTTCCAGCATCACCATTGTCTGAAAGGTCCAGTCTCCATTCCTGATAAGGCCAGTGGACATGACCCCAACTCTCTCCTCCTGCCCATTCCGGAACCACTTGATCTTGATGTCTCCTGGATAGAAACCTGTCACAGAGCAGAGCAGCAGATTGTGGTGCTGCAGGGACGGGGTCCTCTCTGGATACACTGTCACCTCTGGTTGTACTGGGAAAGGAGAAAAAAAATGAGACATTGTGAAGGAAAACCACCATGCCAGGACAGGAGTTCTTTGAGAGACTACCTCTGCCCCTAATCTCCTTCTCATACCACCCAAGTAGAAACTGGAAAAGGTAAGGAAATGTCTGCCCCCAAGAGTCAGAAACTGGGTATGTCAGGACCTCAAGGAGGAGTTAGGCCTTATCCCACAATTACCCCTTCTGTTTGAGACTGGTCCTTAACATTCTTGAGAACTTTGGGGGTCTGGGACCAAGACCAAAGTAACCTGACCTGTGAGGATAATGAGTGAATCACAACTGGGGACAGAACATATACCCAGAATCCCCAGCTCATAAGTCATTTATTCTGAAGCTGGAAATTGCCTATCACAGGAAGTAAAGCCCATGATCAGGTTCATGTGTGGGAGATTCCTGAACCCCACCAGACTTCACCTTCCACCTCACCTTTTCTCCCCACAGTGAAGGGTGCACCGAGCTCGTAGTTATGCCTGCAGAGTAAATCCACAGAAGCTCTACTCCTCTCCAATATACCCGGCTGACTGTTCCAGAGCTCAGCATCAGGCTTCCCCAGCTCTGTCAATGCCACAAACATTCCCACGTGGCTGTCAAAACGTGCATACTCCTCCAGGTTAAAAATGAATCTCACCACAAACTGCACCTTCTCTGTTCCATTGATGAAGTAACAGTCAGCCTTTGCCTGAATCACAAAATCTTCTGGAAAACAACAGCAAAAAAGACTATAAACCAACCTCCACCTTTAGGAAACCCATACATAGTAAATTATGCCAGATCACATGGATTTGAGAGGAGGCCTTTTGACCTCAGTAAATAGATCAAAGTATCCTCTTCTCTCCTGAGCCCCACTCCAGTTCCATTTAGCAAAGGGACACCCACTGTGGAAAGAAGCCTGACATCCATCCTACCAGGCCAGCCAAACAGAAGACATGTAACCCAAAAAAGGCAAGCCAAAGAGGGAGTTCCAAGAGACATAAATATTCATTCCACAAAGATTTCTTGACCATTCATGTTTTGCTGACACTGTGCTGGTTTCTCCAAGCCAAGTTTTCAGAAACCCAAAGTTTTTACCTCCTTTTGTTATCAAGTCAGAACCATCCATCCCAAAATGAAATAATTCAACGGTATGCTTGTCCTTAGCAAGTTCATTCTATACATTCCATCTGGAGTGAAGTGAAGGAGTGATGGGGGGTGGGGGTTGAAAAGAAATACAGACTAGGTACACATTTGATGTGAAATTAACTCCCATCCTACTTTTCACTCACTATGGGTTTTCTCCAAGAATTCCTTTATTTTTGGACCTTTCCCCTTGCACTTTTACTTAAAGAGCTCACCCCTCTGTTGGCTCTAATGAGGTAATGATTTCATTAGTTTTGTTGGTGTGAAGTAAAATAATACTAACCCATGGCTCAAAGATTAATATTATCATCAGCATCATTGGCACTATACCTACCATTCCAGTAGCTACAACAACATGGTGACAGGGAATACCTGGTTAGCTTAAACCTTCTTTGGGGTTTTTTACATGAAACATGGCCATTACAGTGTCCATTATGATTTTCTACTTTCGGAGCACCTTACTAATGCTGATAGGGATTAGTTTGAGCTATATATTTCTTCATAGTGTCTACTCTGCTTATGTTCTTCAATGTAATTTAACACTCAAAAATTATGTAATCTGTCCTCATTGGTAAGAAAAAGTATAATTCTTATTCACTGAGTACACAGTCTGAGTGTTTGGGCCCCTCCCCCAAATTCATGTGTTGAAATCCTAACCCCTAAAGGTGATATTATCAGCAGGAGGTGCTTTTAAGAAGTGCTTGGGTCAGGGGGTTGGAGCCCTCTCTCACGAATGGGATTAGCTCTTATAAAGGAGGCTCCATAGAGACCCCAAGCCCCTCCTACCACATGAGGACACAGGAAGAAGGTACCACCTTCTCCAGGAAGACAGTCTTCACCAGAACACAGCCATGCTGATGCCTTCATCTTGGACTTCCTAGCCTCCAGAACTGTGAGAGATAAATTTCTGTTGTTTATAAGCCATCCAGTCTGTGGTATTTTGCTACAGCAGCCAGAATGGACAGAGACACAATGATATCTGTCATAGATTTGAAGATCTGAAAAATTCTAAGTGACAAATTGGTAAATTGTCCTGGGTTAAATTTCCATTGATCTTAGTTCTAGTTTTATATCTAGCAGTTTTACACAGAGCCACTAACCCTCCCTGACCTGCTTTCCCTTGCAAACAACACTGAAGCTGAGCTCGAAAGCATAGTGTTAAGTGACAAAAGAAGCAGAATTTGGTTCAATGCACAATGACATATATTAAAATTTTAAAATACACATGAAAAACAATTCTGAATATCCTTACAGGCCAGCCCCATAGTTAAAGTTACATCAGACACATTAGAATGGAATTGTAAGGAAAGGAGGGAGTGGAAATACAGACCAGGAAAGAGGAGAGAGTCCTTTCTTGGACCGACAAATGATTGCAAAGTGCTGTGAACCCACTGGGTAAGACTGACTCAATTCTCTGTATACACTCGAGAACAACAATACTAAAAGGAAACTCAAATGGGTTGATAATGTAGGTTGGTCAGAAAAGATCTCCCTGAAGAAGTGGTATGAGGATAATCGTTAACAACCCCGAGTTGTAAATTTGCTTTCCTTTCTAAACTCAGAGGCCTCCTCCAGGAACTAATGAGCTGAGCGTTAAGGACTAGAGCATCCTTCCTGGATCAGCACTTAGCAGCTAAAGTCAGCTGTAACCTCCAATGTTCTTCCTTCTAACAGTTTAAATCAGAAAAAGAAAATTATCTGGGGGTCAGATCTGTGTCTGTGTTAAGACCTGTTCTTTAACGGACATTGTAAGCTCAGAGAGGTTTCTATTCTAGGAGAATAACCATTGTCTCCTACCCACCCTGCCCTCCCAGGTTTGTTCCTCTTTTGTGTTTAATGAGACCTTGACATTCAAACAGCCTCTGTTTTTAATGCATTATATCCTGTTTTCTACTGATAAGTATGTTTTCAGGGTGTAATACTGCCTCATAATCGTGCAGCCCATCTCCTTGACTAGAAAAATAACAGCAATAAATACACATATCCAGGAACCTAAGGAAGGCATAATGCATTGAACTTCTCTTATTACCCAAAGCTGGGGTTAATAAATGCCAAAAGAAGAAATCTTTGTATCCAATTTCTTTTGTCCACATGTATCTCAGTTGGATAGACATAAAAAGAGTTGCAATCATCAGAGCACTCCTGTCTGGAAAAATTATGACTATTCTCAGACTGCCCCTAGTTTTTACAGTTCTTGAGACTGACACTGATATTATAAGGACCCTAAGCAAGACAAAATGTTTCCCTTCTTCCTGCTACCCTACTCCTTGAAGCTGAGGCTCTGCTGCAGGAGGTTCCCTTTTTCCAGCAGTCCATTGTGTGTGGTAAAGAGGGAAGGCATATCTGAATTTCAAAAGGAATAACACTTTGAAACCAGAAGCCAGTTCTAGTCTGGGCTGCAGCCTGGACCTACAGGGAAAAGCATCCATCCCCCATGTCAATTCTTGCATACATACCTGGGAAAAAAATTGCTCTGCTCTTACCTGGAGAGTCTCTGCCTTGAGTCATGGAAGAATCCAATCCAATTACATTCACTAACAGAGCCAGCATCCATGGAACCCACTCAGAACCCATTCTGGAAGGAAAAACAAAAAATTAAACAGTAAAGTCATCAACTTCTTCAAAATGGGGCTTACTGCCTCAAAACTCAGTCAAAAAATATTTATTAAGAGTATGAATACCTTTCTGGCTTCCTCAGGATTGGAAACTCTTCACACTGATAACCAATCATGATAGAAGAGTTTTGCATCATTAGGTGCTGGGTAGACTACTCTCATAAAGTCATGTATGCCACTCAAGAATTGTTTACCTACAGAATTACTGATGGTAGTTTAATGTGTGTGGGAAATGGGCTGTGAAACAAAAATGTTTTAAATAGTGTACATAGTATGTGGTCCTAGAAGAACTATGTAGATTGTTTACTATGCATTCTATTTTTTAACCAAGAAGCCTCTTCTATGGTTGACATTGCCAACAGAGTGTGCAAATAAAGAAGAAGGTAGACATGATTCTGAAGCATTTGCCTCAAGAGGATTTAATGAAGGGATTATCAGAGAAGATATAGAAGAGATTGAGAACCACCTGGAGAGTATGATTTCCTATAAACCAAGAGAGGGCCACAAAAAAGAAAATAAAGAGAAGATTCTCAACAGAATAAAATGCTGCAAAAATGTTCAAGAAAGGGGCTCCTGGGTGGCTCAGTCAGTTAAGCATCTGACTTTGGCTCAGGTCATGATCCCAAGGTTCTGGGATCGAGCCCTGAGTTGGGCTTCTCACTCAGCATGGAGTCTGCTTAGATTCCCTTTCTCCCTCTACCCCTCTCACTTGTGCAGTCTCTCTCTCTCTCTCTCAAGTAAATAAATAAAATCATTTTTTAAAAGAGTTCATTTACTTATTCATGAGAGACACGGAGAGAGGCAGAGACAGGCAGAGGGAGAAGTAGGTTCCCTGAAGGAAGCCTGTTGAGGGACTCCATCCTAGGACCCCGGGATCACGACCTGAGCCAAAGGCAGATGCTCAAGTACTGAGCCATCCAAGTACCCCAAATAAAGTCTCTTTAAAAATGTTCAAGAGGATAAAATATAAGAAGCATTATTGTGTTTTATAATTAGTGGAGCACCAACAACCTTCAGTAGGACATTGAGTATTTGAAATGAGGGCAGCAGATATAAACAGCCCTTCAAGAATGTGAAGTGAAGTGGCACCTGGGTGGCTCAGTGGTTGAGCATCTGCCCTTGGCTCACGTTGTGATCCTGGGGTCCTGGGATCCAGTCCTACATCCGGCTCCCCTAGAGGAGCCTGTTTCTCCTCTTTCTCCTTCTGCCTGTGTCTCTGCCTCTCTCTGTGTGTCTCTCATGAATAAATAAATAAATAAAATCTTTTTTAAAAAGAATATAAAATGAAAACAAGGGAAAAGATGGTATCTACCTTGAATGAAAAGCCACACAAAAGGAAAGTTACCTTTAAGAAAAACCTTAACAGCTAAATGGGGGATGGGTATTAAGGAGAGCACTTGTGATGAGCACTGAGTGGTATATGTAAGTAATTAATCACTAAATTCTGCTCCTGAAACCAATATTATACTATATGTTAACCAGCTAGAATTATTTTTAAAGATTTATTTATTTATTCATGAGAGACAGGCAAAGACACAGGCAGAGGGAGAAGCAGGCTCCATGTAGGGATCCCGAGGCGGGACTCGATCACAGTATTCCAGGATCACGACCTGAGCCGAAGGCAGATGTTCAACCATTGAGCCACTCAGGCACCCCACTAACTGGAATTTAAATAAAACCTTGAAATAGAAAAAAAAAAAAAAAAAGGAAGGACCTTAACGAGTTTCTCAGTCAAGTAGAAGGCATCTGTACATGGGAGAAATTGAAGATAAAAAAGAGAAGAAAAGAGAAATTACCTCCAGAATTCCTAATGGAATCCAAAGAGATTGTCAGACCTGGTTATAAAAAGGAGCACTTGTTCAGCGACTAGAATGAAGACAGGGGGATTGGAAGCAAGAAAGAGGGGAGTGAGGAAGTTCTAGTTGTATGACTTCAATGGACTCCAGTTAGGACAAGGCAAAACCTTCCGCTAGAAAGGAGTTGGAAGAAAATCTTTTTAACCAAAGTAGTCTATAAGTACATTTTTGTTTATTTAGCACACACTCATCTATGACCAATATTATGGGTTATGCAGTAATGACACAGACATGTTCCTTGTTCTCAAGAAATATATAGCCTAAGCAAAGTGACAAGGAAACAATCCACTGTGATGTCAGAAGGAATGAGATGAATTTGGCAATGTCTGGGCACATAAGAAGAGTACATTTTAGCTTAATATAGAGTTCGTGATAAAGTTGATAGTTGATACAAGTGACATAACAAGCAGAGATTTTTAGAATTTGGAATACCCAGTACATGTGGACAAATAGAAAGCAGATAAACAGTGAAACAAAAAGTTTATCTGGATTCTCTTTCAAATTCCTAATTGTCTGCAATAAGTAAATACATGCATACTACTTCATTGGATAGGAAAAGATAGGGATGCCTGGGTGGCTCAGCGGTTGAGTGCCTGCCTTCAGCTCAGGGTGTGATCCTGGAGTCCGGGGATACATCAAGTCCCACATCAGGCTTCCTGCATGGATCTTGCTTCTCCCTCTGCCTATGTCTCTGCCTCTGTCTCTCTCTGTCACTCTCTCTCTCTCTCTGTGTGTCTCTCTCTCTGTGTCTCTCATGAATAAATAAATAAAATATTTTTTTTAAATTTTTTTAAATTTTTTATTTATTGATGATAGTCACATAGAATGAGAGAGAGAGAGGCAGAGACACAGGCAGAGGGAGAAGCAGGCTCCATGCACCGGGAGCCCGACGTGGGATTCGATCCCGGGTCTCCAGGATCGCGCCCTGGGCCAAAGGCAGGCGCTAAACCGCTGCGCCACCCAGGGATCCCAATAAAATATTTTTTTAAATGGGAAAATATATGGGTTTTTTTTTTCATTTCCTTAAGAGAACACACATGCTTTGATGGGTATGTAAGGTAGGATTATGATGGTAGTTGACCAGAACACCCAAGAATACTTGAGTTATGCTTTGCCAAATATGCTTGGATGCCCTCAGGAAATCTCTACTCATAAGTAGTAATACTAACTTGTAAATTAAAGACTGACTCTATTGTTAATTGGTCAACTCTCTAATACCCCAATAGAAGGTTTTATGGTAAACTTCTCTGAAGCATGAGGCCCAAGTAAGTTCTCATGTTCCCTCTTAAATCCCACTTGTACCACTAGCCAGCTATAAATCCTGAAGGACTAAGAACTCCCCAACATAAGAGCAATAGTTTGGGTCACAAAGGAGCTCTGTTCAAGATGGCAAAAATAGGATTCAGAAAAAAAGTGAAATGTAACTACATACATTTAAGTACTGTGGCCCTTGCACTTTGAGTAAATATGCCCTGTCCTGGAATCTGACCAATCAAAATAATAATTCCTCCTCCTGGAAAAAGATGAGGAGGTGTGGAAGACATCACTAGTGCTCACCAATATCTTCTACTTCCTGGGCACATGGAAAATTGTATTTCCTAGTTTCCCAGAACTATGTGACTAGTTCTAGACAATAGTTAGTGAATAAAAAGGTTCTTAGACAAAGATTTTAGCTACCTTTGCATGACTCTTCTCTTTTTCCCTTGCCAAGTCAACCAAGACAATCTTGTATTGAAATAGTAGAATCAGAATATAAAAGCAATGAGCTAATTAGCAGAGTTATCATAAAGAGGAGAAGCCCTAGAGAATCACCCAAACCCACAATGGATGTTATATGAAAGAGAGAGAAGTTTTGCTTGTTTAAGGCTCTAAGGGCTGTTACCACAGCTTGGCCTGACTTATCCTAACTAATATAGGACGAGAATAAGATTGTTGACCTGCCCCTCCACATCCCTCAGGTATACTTGAATATTCATGAGTTAGAAGCCTGAGCACAGGCAAAACTGGGAGATTCTGTCCACAGAGTATAGGACCCTTGACTGTTGGTACATCTTCTAGAGGTGAATGGTTGTGTTGCTCCCATTTGTGAGGGCACATAAAGCTGATTGAAAAGGTGGCAATCAGAGGAAGCTCAAGCCACAGAGCTTTAACTTCTCTTCTTCTTACCCACACCGGCCTTAGTCTTTCCCATGTTATTTTATCTCATCTGGAAGTGGAGAAAAATATTTTACTTGAAGCTAAGTGAATGAGACTCTGACATGGAGATTATCAGAAGCAGCAAAGGCATGAGACGGCATGCTGCCACTGAGGCAAGAATGCTCCTCCTAGGGCATGAGAAAAGAGACGGTAGTGTCCATATAGGGTCGCCAACCTAATTTTCTAAGCTTTTGAAAGAGGGACATCTGGGCTTGTATTTTGGAATACTTTTTAAAGCTCTGTTAAGGTATAATTTGTGTAATTGACATGCAACAAAGTGCACTTATCTAATGTTAACAATTTGGTAAGTTTTGACATGTATAAAGTCATGAAACTACATTGTGAAAATCAATTTATCTGTCACCCACATTTACTTTGTGCTCATATAATCTCTGCCTTCTCCAGCCTTCCAGGCAATCATCAATTATCTTTCCTTTACATTAAGTTAGTTTGTATTTTCTGTAAGGCATTATTAGTATATGTTGTTGTTTTTTTCTGTACTTGTTTTGCTTCATTCTGCATGCTTATTGAGATTCAACAATGAGCTTATTATTTTATCTGCAGGCAATACTGTAGTTGGTCTTCAGCCCTTTCTCTCAAGGATGAAAGAGAGATCTTGAGGAGAGAAGAAAGAGTGAGGCCTAGAAAACACAGATAAAAGGTGTGCTTGTCTGTGGATTTAGAGGAAGAGAAAGAGTTGATAGATGGCAAGAGATGCTGAGGGGACACTGGAGGATGTGAATGCTGAACCAAAAAGTTAGGAAGGTTGTTCTTTTCTACTTCTGGTGTGAACGTGTCTAAGGCTCATAAACTCTAAAATCTGACTTACCTACATCATGATCATAATAGCTAATATTTATTGATCATACATTGTGAGTCAGGTTTTTTTAATTTTAGAAGATATTTATTTATTTATTTATTTATTTATTTATTTATTTGAGAGAGAGAGAGAGAGAGAGTACAAGCAAAGGGAGAAGAAGAGGGAGAAGCAGACCTCCACTAAGCAGGGAGCCCAACACAGGGCTCTATCCCAGGACCCCAGGACCATGGCCAGAGCCAAAGGCAGACACCTAACCAACTGAGCCACCCAGGCACCCCATGAGTCAGTTTTCTAAGCCCTGTGAATGTCTGTGTCTGTGCATGGTGATGGCGAGGTGGGTAGAGAGAAAGAGAAAAAAGTGAAGAATAGAGAGAGAATCATAACAATAACCCTTCACAGAGATAGTGAAGGCTCCTTGCATGGAGCTTTCTTCTCCCTCTGCCTGTGTCTCTGCCTCTCTCACTCTCTCTGTCTCTCATGAATAAATAAATAAAATCTTTTAAAAAAATATATAACCATCTTAAAAAATTTTTATTGATATATTGATAATAATACTATAATATTAGGGGACTTTAACACCCCATTCACTGCACTGGACAGATCATCTAAGCAAAAAATCAACAAGGAAACAAGGACTTTGAATGACACACTATACCAGACGGACTTCACATATTTTATCCTACAGTAAAAGAATATACATTCTTGGGCAGCCCCGGTGGCGCTGCGGTTTAGCGCCGCTTGCAGCCTCCGGCGTGATCCTGGATACCCGGGATCGAGTCCCACGTCAGGCTCCCTGCATGGAGCCTGCTTCTCCCTCTGCCTGTGTCTCTGCCTCTCTCTCTCTCTCTCTCTCTCTCTCTCTCTCTCTCTCTCTCTGTGTGTGTGTGTGTCTCTATGAATATATATATACACACACATTCTTCCAGAGTGCGCATGGAACATTCTGCAGAATAGATCATATATTGGCTCATGAATCAGGTCTCAACTGATACCAAAAGATTATTCCCTGCATATTTTCAGACCACAATGCTTTGAAACTGGAACTCAATCACAAAAGGAAATTTGAAAGGAACACAAACACTTGGAGGTTAAAGAGCATTCTACTAAGAATGAATGGGTCAACCAGGAAATTAAAGAAGAGTTTTAAAAATTAATGGAAATGAATGAAAATGAAATCACAACCGTTCAAAGCCTTGAGATACAGCAAAGGCAGTCCTAAGAGGAAAGCATATTGCAATACAAGCCTTTCTCAAAAATTAGAAAAATCTCAAATACTCAAGCTAAACATACATTTAATCTAAAGGAGCTGGAGAGGGAACAGCAAATAAAACTTAAACCCAGCAGAAGAGAAATAATAAAAATTAGAGCAGAAATCAATGAAGTAGAAACAAGAAGAACAGTAGAACAGATCAACGAAACTAGAAGCTGGTTCTTGGAAAGAATAAATAAAATCAATAAATCCCCAGCCAGACTTATTACAAAGAAAAGAGGAAGGACCTAAATTAAAATCATGAATGAAAGAGGAGAGATTGCGAACAACACCAAAGAAATACAAACAATTTTAAGAACATATTATGAGCAAATAAATGCCAACAAATTAAGCACTCTGAAAGAAATGGATGCATTCCTGGAAACCACCAAAATTGAAACAGGAAGAAATAGAAAATCTGAAGAGACATATAACCAGCAAGGAAATTGAAGGAGCAATGAGAAACCTCCCAAAAAGCAAGAGTGCAGGGCCAGATGGCTTCCCCAGGGAATTCTAACAAACATTTAAAGAAATAATATGTATTCTTCAGAAGCTATTTCCAAAAATAGAAAAGGAAGAAAAACTTCCAAACTCATTCTATGAGGCCAACATTACCTTGATCCTAAAACCAGACAAAGATCCCATGTTCCTGATGACATGGTTGCCAAAACACTCAACAAGATACTAGCCAATAGGATCCAATTAGTACATTAAAATGATTATTCACCAAGAGCAAGTGAAATTTATTCCTGGGCTTCAAGGGTGGTTCAACATTCACAAATCAATGTATGATACGCCACATTAATAAAAGGACAAGAATCATATGATCCTCTCAGCTGATGTAGAAAAAGCATTTGACAAAGTACAGCATCCTTTCTTGATTAAAACTCTTCAAAGTGTAGGGATAGAGGGAACATAGTATCATAAAAGCCACCACTAAAAGCCCACAGTGAAATCATTCTCAATGGGGGAAAACAGAGTTTTTCCCCTAAGGTCAGGACCATGACAGGGATGCCCATTCTCACTAGTGTTATTCAACATAGCACTAGAAGTACTAGCCTCAGCAATCAGACAACAAACAGAAATAAAAGTCATTCAAATCAGCAGAGGAGTCAAACTCTCACTCTTTGTAGATAACATGATACTTTACAAGGAAAATCCAAAAGACTCCATCCCAAAATTGCTAGAATTCATACAGCAATTCAGCAATGTGGCAGGATATAAAATCAATGCACAGGAATCAGTTGCATTCCTATACACTGAGACTGAAGAAAGAGAAATTAAGGAATCAATCCTATTTACAATTGCACTGAAAATTCATAATATACCTAGGAATATGCTTAACCAAAGAGGTAAAGGATCTGTACTCTAAAAACTATAGAACACCTATGGAAGAAATTGGGGAAGATACAAAGAAATGGAAAAACATTCCATGCTCATGGATTGGAAGAATAAATATTGTTTAAATGTCTAAGCTACCAAGATCAATCTATACATTTAATGCAATCCCTATTAAAATACCATCAACATTTTTCACAGAGCTGGAACAAATATTCCTAAAATTTGTATGGAACCAAAAAAAAAAAAAACCAAAATGCCAGAGGAAGGCTAAAAAGAAAACCAAAACTGGTGGCATCGCAATGCCAGACTTCAAGCTCTATTACAAAGCTGTGATCATCAAGACTGCATGGTACTAGTGCACAAAAAGACACAGAGATCAATGGATCAGAATAGAGAACCCAGAAATGGACCCTCAACCCTATGGTCAACTAATCTTTAATAAAGCAGTATAAAGTATCCAGTGGGAAAAAGAGTCTCTTCAATAAATGGTGCTGGGAGAATTGGACAGCCACATGTAGAAGAATGAAACTGGACCACTTTCTTACACCATACAAAAATAAACTCAAAATGGATGAAAGACCTAAATGTGAGACAGGAATTTTTCAGAATCCTAGAGGAGAACGCAGGCAGTAACCTCTTTGCTCTTGGTCGCAGTAACTTACTGTTAGACACGTCTCCAAAAGCAAGGGAAACGAAAGCAAAAATGAGCTCTTGGGACTTGATCAAAAAAGCTTCTGTACAGCAAAGGAAACGGTCAACAAAACTTAGAGGCAACCTACGGAATGGGAGAAGATATTTGCAAATGACATATCAGAGAAAGGACTAGTATCCAAAATCCACAAAGAATTTATCAAAGTCAACACCCAAAAAACAAATAATCTAGTAAAGAAATGGGCAGAGGACATGAACATATATTTCTCCAAAGAAGACATACAGTGGGCAACAGATACATGAAAAAATGTTCCACATCACTTGTCATCAGGGAAATACAAATCAAAACCAGAATGAGATACCACTTTACACCAGTCAGAATGGTTAATAGGACAGGAAACAACAAATGTTGGTCAAGTTGTAGAGAAAGGGGAACCTTCTTACTACTGCTGGTGGGAATGCAAGCTGGTGCAGCCACTCTGGAAAACAGCATGAAGGTTCCTCAAGAAGTTAAAAACAGAGCTACCCTATGACCCAGCAATTACACTACTAGGGGTTTACCCCAAAGATACAAATGTAGTGATCCAATGGGCACCTGTACCCCAATGTTCATAGCAGCAATGTCCACAATAGCCAAATTGTGGAAAGAGCTGAGAGGTTCATCAACATATGAATGGATAAAAGAGATGTGGTGTATACACATGATGGAATATTACTCAGCCATCACAAAGGATAAATACTTACCATTTTACATCGACATGGATGGAACCGGAGCGAAATAAGTCAATCAGAGAAAGACAATCATCATATGGTTTCACTCATATGTGGAATATAAGAAACAGCACAGGAATCATAGAGGTAGGGAAGGGAATCTATCATTCAGGGAAAACTGAATGGGTAGTCATTAGGGAGAAAAATCATGAGAGATTCCCAACTATAGGAGACACACTGAGGGTTGCTGAATGGGAGGTAGCTGGGGAATGGGGTAATTGGCTGAGAAGGAGGATAGGTGATGTAATGAGCACTGAGTATTATACAGAACTGATAAATTGTTGAACACTATATATGAAACTAATGATGTACTCTATGTTGGCTAATTGAATTTAAATTAAAAAAAAGAATTTGGGGTGCCAGAAGCAAATCCGTGATCTTAGTGAGTGAGAATATATTTGGGAATGAGGAACCAAAAGTCTGGGCTCTAATCAGCTATCACTTCTTTGATATGACTGCTGACTGGGTGGATCCACCCAATGTATTAATTTGTGCTTTAGTGTCAGTATTTCTCCCAGGATGGTTTTGTCTATCACATTATGCTGGAAAAGTAAATGTTGGTAGCACTTTGTTTTACTTATTTGTTTATTTGAACTCATTATTCTTAGGAAATATCCACTAAATTATAATATTATGAACTTTAAAAAGGCTCTGTGAAACAAACTCAACCCTATTTTGAGGTGTTTTTTTTTCCAACTTGTGCTAGATTCTGTTGTAAACAGAATATTGTAAATATTTTTAAGAATTTTTGTATAAATATTAATAAGTAAATTCATTTAGGTTTTCTGTTCTCTCAGTTTTTTTTTAAGATTTTATCTATTTATTTGAGAGAGAGAGAGTGCACAAGAGAGCATGAGCTGGGGGAGAGGCAGATGGAGAGAGAGAGAGAGGCAGACTCTCTGCTGGACAGGGAGCTCAAGGTAGGGCTCAATCTCAGGACCCAGGGACCATGACCCTAGCTGAAGACAGCTGTTTAGCCAACTGAGCCACCCAGGTGTCTCTCATTTATAGTTTTTATTTTTGTGCACTGTCATAGTTTAACATTGATATTATACTTACTTCACCTTACTTCACTAAAAGAATACTGTTGGAATTACTGCTCTTGAACTATTTATTTAGGATTAGAATTCTCTTTTTTTCTTTTAAAGTCTTTATTGCATTGCCCTAAATATCTGTACCTGGAGCTTTTACTGGGGTAGCTCTTTTACAATTTTTCCTGTTTCTTCATTGGAAATATTCTATACAAATAGTCTCTTTTTTTTTAAGATTTTATTTATTTATTCATGAGAGACACAGAGAGAGAGGCAGAGACATAGGTAGTGAGAAAGAAGCAGGCTCCCCACAGGGAGCCCAGTGTGGGACTTGATCCCATATCCCAGGATCATGCCTTGAGCCATAGGCAGACACTCAACCACTGAGCCACCCAGACGTCCCACAAATAGTCTACCTCTAAAGGGACTGGTTTTGCTAAACTTTTCAAGACAATTATTAATTTAATCCAAATTTTCAAGTGTATTTTTATAAAATTGAACAAAGTAATCTATAATTTTCCCCTGTTCATGTATTAATTTTGTCCTTGTCATTTTTTATTTTCTCTACTTTTTTTGATTAGGTTTGTCATGGTTTATTTTACTGAAATTTCTTAAAGCTTTTGAATTTATTCTATTTTTCCATTTTCTAACTCTTTAATTTCTGCTTTTATTTTTATGACCTGTGATTCATTGTATTGTTCTTCTCTCTTAATCTTGGTTTCATTCTTTCCTTTAGTCAATTTAAGCAATTAAGTCCATGAATTCTCTGCTGAGTACTGCCTTAGCTATATCCCATGACTTTTGATATATGATTTTTAATTATAATTCTTCTAGAAATTTTTCATGTTTGTTTTTCTCTCTGATCAAGAAAGACACAGTTTCTTTAAGTTTCTATGTGGAGAAGTATTTCTCTTTCCTGATTTTTTTTTATTGTTATCTGGTTTGTTCCATTATGGTCAGAGAATAGTATCTATATCATTTCTACTTTTAGGAACTTATTGGGGCTCTTTGTACCATAGTATGTAGTCCATTTTCATTAATATTTTGCTGGAATTTGAAAAGATGTATTCTCTATTTTTAATGAAGAAGTCTTAATATAGATCCATCAGATCTAATTTTATACTGTTGGAATATCTTCTGTGATCATACTTATTTTTGTTCACTGAGAAAAGCAAATTAAAGTCACCTAATATTAGTACATTTCTGAATGTTTTCCTTGTATCTCCCTTAATTTCAGCTTAATGAGAGTTACTTATGTGCTGTCTAAACTTAAATGCACATCTCTTATGCTCTTATATACTCATTATGAATTTTACATTTTACATTAAAAAGTGCCTTCTTGTCTCACTCAATTTTTTCCGTTTGAATTTCGCCTGTTATAACAATGGTGTTGTGACCTCTGTTTCTTTCTTGTTTGCATTCTTTTGCTATGCCTTTCCCATGATTTTATTTTTTGAATAAACAAATGAAACTTTCTGAGTCACTCTTAGGTGTGTTTTTTGTATATTACAAACAGTAGTTTTTCTTTCAATCTAATCTAAAATGATTCTTATTTTATATATCAGTTAAGCCCATTTGCAATTTTAGCAAAGAAATTCAGTGTAATTTGTGATTTGTAAGTGATACTATTTTCTGTTAAATATACCATTTATATGAGTATTTTTTTTTTTAGAAAATCTTTCATTGTGCCTTGTGTTTTCTAAATTGCAGTTTTTCAGATATTTTAAAAGGTGTATATTTGGGGATTGTCCTGAAATTTTATTCTTCATTTAGTTTCCTCTTTCTTTAGTTTCTGTTAGTTATGAACATCATAAAATTGACAGCTTAAATCCTCTCCTTTTCCATTTTTTTGTGTTTACCTTTGTACTCTTAATGTGTTCTAAACGTT